TTTTTTTTTGTCTTCTTCCTTACAACTCCCCCTGTTCAGAACCTCTTGAGTACAAGGCTGCCCACGTGGATGTAGGTTGAGCGGCGGCTGCCCCCACCCCCGTGTGTCATATCGACCCACTTGCACACAGCCAAAGGGCAAAGAGGCAAAAAAGAGGAAGGAAACAGCCGAACACAACAAAACAGGGGGAACAAATCCTAGATGACAAGTCCCACATGTAAGCACCGCCCCCACGTCACAGGCCAAACGACGGGACAAGACCAACCAGGATATCAAAACACCTTGCCGGCAAAAAAAGGAATCAAATCTATTGCAACTGCCGCCGTCTGTGCTGAAGGATGTCCAACAAAACATAAAAGACAATCCCAGATGACAATTACCACATAAAAGCACCACCCCCAAATGCACAAGATGTATATATCCTCACTAGATGACCCGTTGCCGCTTCGCCCGCAAAAACAGAAAAGGAAAACGCACAAAAGAAAGAAAAAGCATAACGAACCCCCCTATCATATGCCACTTCTTCCACAATAAGAATAAGAAGAGCCTGAGAGCAGATGAAATCCGCGTGCAAGAAAATAGGAGGGAATACCACCGAAGCGTCTTTTTTACTTTATTTGTGAGTCTTTTGTTTGGGAAGCCATTACCTTTACAGCATCTTTTTTTTTTGTGCTGTGCAAGAAGTCAGAACGTTTCTGAGAAAATCCTGTCTGTTGTCCCGTTGATGTTTTTGCTAAAGATTCTGATTCAGACTTTGCTTGCTGTGTTCTCTGAATATGTTTGTGATCAAGCGATCTTGCGTGTATGCCCCGTGCTTACTTGTTGAGTTTTGACGCTATGTGTGCAAGTGCATGCGTGTGTGGGTGCGTCTCAGTTTGGTGGGCTCTGATGATGTCATTGATGATTGGCCAGGGGAAGTTGCTGGAAGTTGCCTCCAACCACAGGAGTGCCACTGATGTTAAGCAGGTTTCTTCGCGTGGGGGACTTGTCGGGAGTAGCACTGACATGGGAGCCATAATGCTGGCCGTTCATCTTGCAACATTTCCTGGAAGGCAAAAGGCAAAGAAGAAACGAAGTAGCGCGTGCCCCCCCCCTTCTTTCTCTCTCTCTCTCTCTCTCTCTCTCTCTCTCTCTCTCTCTCTCTCTCTCTCTCTCTCTC